GGAAGAAACAGCTCTTCACAGGGAACTTCATTGCATGTAAGATCTGGGTGGGCCGTTGGCAATAGGAGCTGAAGAAGATTTCAGGCTTCTAATAGAGGTCTCAGTTGTCCAAAGATCCAGCAACTGTGTCTTCATTTTTCTTTAGCTGTGTGCTACAGATATGAGAGCTCCTGGCAGTTGTTCCATGTGTCCTTGGTGTACATTATTTTTCATTCCAAAAACTCAGCAAGAAAAGGTAAGTAACTTCAAACTTACTATTTATTGAAGCAGCAATTTATAGAGCTGTTGTAAATGGTACACCACTTCCTAGCTATGTGCATATACAGCTGGTGACTTATCCTAGTGCCTCCATTAGAACTCTCTATTGTGTCTGATTCGGAGATACAGTAACACATCTGCAGTCAGATCACAAGATTAATGCAATATTGAATATTACTTCTCTTACACATACAAGAGCTTTAATCTTTTGTAATTAAATTTTTATTTGATTAATTTTTAATCATATTCTTACTGACTTCCTGCTATATTAATGGTGCGGAATCTACAGTCTGGGGAGCAGCACAGAATTTTATTAATAAGCCCATTATAATGGCTGAGAGACATGGAAGCCTCACAAATCAACTCAGCAGGTGGGTTTTGCCATCTTCAGCAACTCCCTCACTGCCCACTGCTCCTTGGCTGCCTGTTTCCAGCTGTCATCCCAATCAAAAACTGAGTAAAGTGCTTGGCTGGTCTTTCCTGAAGTACTGGGGGAAGCTGGTAGCACATTGTTCTTCATTCTTTACCTCTTCCTGATTGTCTGAGAAGAGAAAATAATAAGCAAACAGTTCATATTCCTTCCTTCTCCCACTCAGCTCCAGCTTAAAGGGACCTCTAACATCTATCAGTTGTTGGTGATTTTTGAAGGCTCAAAGGCCAGTCACTAGTGGAAAACAGCATACTCCAGGGACCTTCCCTTTCCATGCCTCTCCCCCGCACCAGGAAAATGAAGAAAAAGCAGATTTGGAGGACAACCCCTCTGTTGGCCTCTACATGCAAGATGGTTCTCCAGGTTGGACCTATTTCTGGCTTGTATTGTCATTATCTCCTATTTATTAAGGCTGGCACTTTGTCTTTCTTGGAATAAAATTATTTGGATGTTTTGTCGTTTCGTGACAAACGTGCACATTTCACTTTGCTGTGTTATCTACCATGGCAGCACTGTTGTCTTGCTAAAGTAGGGCATCTTGGGATCTAATTTTATATTTCTCAGTACTCAGATGAGCACTGTAGATTATGTTCAACATATTTAAATCCATATGATATAGCATTATGACACAACACCTCTGTTCAAAATCCCATTATAGTCTCATTATCTGCAGTGATTTCATTTGACTAGTCCCTGTAAAAATGTATCCTTTGAGATGGTTTTCCTTTTTCTGTTGGCCCTTCATGCAGAAGAAATGCCTCACATTATTTTAAGGTCATTTCATATCACATTGTATCTAATTCTTCCTGTCAAACTAATTTAAAAACAATTTGCATTCACTTCCTATTTATTTTAAAACATTCTCCCTGCAGTGTCTTTGCTGCTGCTGCTAGGCATTCTTGAAAGCAGAAACTCTATTAAGAATATTTCTGCAATGTCCTCTTCATTTCCTGAAATCCTCAAATTCCACTCTTGTTTCTGAAGTGAGACATCCATTGTCTAAAGTGTACTAAGCACTCATGCAGCTGCTATTGACCCGCAAATTTTTACCTAAGCAAAACAACCACCAGTGCAGCATACTAGAGCAGTTTTTACAAATTTTGCTTTGGGTCTTGCTTACCTTTGACATAATGTAATTAAATTCTGATGCATGAAAATGCTAATTGTATTTATTTTCCCATATTTATAAAACAAGTCCCCACCAAGTGGAATGCAGTATACCATGAATTCTTCTCATACTGGCTAACTGTGCCAGCCTCCTATTAGTTTGCACTGATAGTAGAATCGGGAAACATTGATGGTTTAGAAAGGTTTTTAAGTTTTGATGGTGCAGTGTAATTAGCTGTATCTAAACAAGAATTAAGAGCAATTTAGGATTTGAGAAATCTTGCTGTGCAACAGAATGACATACTAATTCGATTTACTTTTGATTAAAGATCAATATAGAAAAGAAACAAATGCTAACAATGAATAATAACAATAATAAAAACTACAGAGTAACAGGAGAGCCTGGCTCCAAGCTGGCACTTCCCACTAAGACATCCACTATGTCAAAGCAAAGCTGCTAGGCTGGCACGAAATGCAGATAGCCATAGAGATCAATGCATTTCAAGGATGAGGAATACTGCCATGTAAATAACCCTTCAAGGGAACTTTAATACTAAAAACAGCAAGGAATGTATGTCTCACAGTCATACAGCACAGAATGGAACAAATCCGGGGCCAAACTTAACTGTTGTGACATGGAAACATATCTGTATCTCTAGGGAAATATCTGATGTAATAAGAGATAAAAGATATGAGATGACAAAAAACAAGTGAGAGCTTTGAGTTAGGTACAACGAAAAGCATGACAGACATCAAAAGCTGAAAAATGAGAACATGATCTCTAAATATTCAGTCTTTTAAAAATAAAACACGGATAAAGTTCTCTATGTTTTTTTGCCATATCTTCGGCTATTGGACAGAAACACAACTGTGCTGTGTAGTCAAAGGCAACATCAGTTCTTTGTCCATCTTCTCCCTTTTACTTAAATTTGGACACCTCGGAATAGGGCTACTCTGAATCACCTACATAACCTACAAGCCCTGATAAAGGCACTAGAGGAAGAACTTTTTATCTTTCAGCAACTGAGGATCTTTATGTAGAAGGGAAAACAAAACAATGTCATCTATTTAATTTTGCATTTACTTTTGTGGATATTCCAGAAAATACTAGCTGAAAAAGTTTTGTTATTCTTTGTGGGGAAGGGGTGGAAAATGAAGTTAGGAAAATGTATGTATTGCAAAAAGTTGTGAACTTTCCATTAAAAAAAATGGAATGTACCTTATTTATTAGATGTTTATTTTACACTTGAATTGTTAGGATATTAATGCATATTTTCCTTAATTGCCACTGTGTCTCAGGGGAGCTGCAGTTCACTTGATTTATGACAAAACTTCTTCTCTGGTCTGGACTTTGTGACTGGTCTGTGACTACGTCATCACAGTGATCTGGGTTTCTCTAACATAGTAAAATTTGGATTAAGTAATTTGGATGGGTTATAAAAGACTGAGAAAACATAACTTCCTTAGAACATAACTTACATAACTTTTAGAAGACACAGTGTGGACCTTGGTGCCCTCAGTGGAACACCAAACAAAACAGCTTGAATCAGAACTTCATCCGAAAGTGAAATGTTATTTATTATGCTACAGCTCAAACAAGATGTTTAGACAATTCCAAACCCCTTTCTTATTTTTCACTTGCTTTAAAAAAAGGTTACTGTCTTACTTTTCAGGCTAATTTGATGTATTGAGAAGCATTTTAAAATATTATGATATTAAATATATAATATCATAATTTCTAGTGGGATGAAAATTCCACTTTTTACCAGGTGCTATGGCCTCTGGAGAGATTCAGGCTGATGAGTTTTGTGATGTCAAACAGCTGCAGATGAAAATATGAAAAACAATTGACAATAATTAAATAATACAAATGTCAAACTACAAATTTGAGACAAGCATATAATTATCATGGTATTATTTCAAATTATTTTATGTGATATTAAATACCATTGAATTGTCATATTCTTAACAAAGTCAAAATAGGAATATACTAATCTGCAGATTTATATTTCAGACAGTAAAAGAACAAAATAAAATGTTTGCTTAGCATGAACAAAGTTCTGAAGCTTTTCTTTTTTTTTTAAATGTGAAACTGCTTAACTGAAAAGAAGCTAATTTATTGAGATCACTCCACAATTTAGGGTGAACAATTCATAGAAATTACACAATTGTAACCTCTTTTCTTGTGTATGAATTATGTCAGAGCAAGCTGTGGAATTTTGAAGTGTACCTGTAATTAAATGTATTTGCTGAACAACTATAAACCTGCAATTTATTTGCAAAAGCTTTATATACAAATTCAATATTCAAAATTCAAGCTGCTTCATTAGGTCAGTCGGCACATATTTCTATCTCAGAAGCTTGATTCTTCATATCAAAAATCTGATATGAAAAATTCAGAATTTGCTTTTTGCAAATAATCTTAACTAATATGCTCAAAATTCTTCAAACATTGTTGTTAGTACCTCTATTCAGCAGAATAGTTACAGAAAGCAAACAATACCCTGCTCAAATTACTAAAATGTCTATGTACCTTTCCAGTGAAAGGAAACTTCATTGGTAAACAGAATCTAACATCATAAAAGAACAAACTATTTACTTACTCAGCCTTTGAAGAAAGAATGATATTAATGACATACTTGCAATCTATGTAAATACCTTAAATATATATGAGTAACATATGTTGCTACTCCTACATATTTTTTCTAACCAAACTAATTACTTATCTAAATTTAAAATGTAAAAGGAAAGTATATTTACTTGTGGAGGCTTGATGTATTAGATTTATCTGCATTATTCTGATCCCTAATTTGGAAGATACATTTTTCAGCTGCTAAGCTATACTTGATTAAGGAAAGCTGCTTACCCAAGCTTTTTTTTCAGTGCCTCGGAAAATACTAACAAAATAATTCAGCCATTGCTTCATTGGGAATTGCAGTGCATACAGGTAATAAGTATATGGAACTTATTCTCCTACATCTTCATTGTCTGAGTTGCTTTCCTTTTACTTGCAGACTTATAGAACTACAAAAACCATGAAAACTCAATGCTAACTTAAAAGTGCAACCTCTGTTACTTTAATATTTTTATACTGTGTATCAAGGTATTGTTTACATTAGATAATAAAATGGAGATGGGGCAGAAAACACACCTGTGAAAGACTTTCTACACAAAAGGATGAACACGTAGTTATTTGCACAAAGCATTAGAAAATACCGTGATATTTTATTATTAAAAATGCTGCTGAAAAGTTTATACATATGTGTCCAGCCATATATATCTTCTATCATTACTTAAGGCAAAAAACAAAAAATTGCAAAACGATAACAGAAGAAACCATTGAACCCTGTGTGCCTCATAAGGACAAGAATATAAGCCTGGGAAAGTACTTTTGTTTTTCTTTTACAGTTTCAAAGTATATTTTGATATCATTTTTATAGAATTCTATGAAGACCCTATAAATCTGTTCCCTCTATAAATCATACATCAGTCCAGATGTATCAAATTATTAAATCAACTTGATTGTAATTACTTTTAAAAGCTAAAATTATTCACTTACAGGAACTTTTTTTTACCCAAATGTCACAAGCCTGACACAGTACTGTACATATTGCTAGCAGAAGACAATTGGAAGTACTAAACAAATACTGTAATTCACATTACAAACATACCCAACTGCTTATGATGTCAAGCATCATTACCTTTTTTTTTCTTTTTTTTTTTTTTTTCTTTTTTTTTTAAACCTTTTTTTAAGAGTTATGAACTGCTGCATCTCAGCTGAGGCATTAAATAATTGGTGGAAATGGCCTGGTATAGAGTCAGCATTTATCAATATTATGCAATGGATCAGTGAAAAAAACAAAATAGTTTTCCATTTCCTACTAATTGTACTTTGAAGTTGCTGTTTTATCACATTCCAATCTGAGCTTCCAGATCAGATTTATAGTATGTTTACTAAAGATAAAGGATTGTATCAGCCACATGTTGCATTTTTATCGTGTCATTAACTTTTCACTTCTTTCATTGAGAATTTGTTTTATTGCCTACTAAAACAAGGAGTTGTGCAGATGAATAGACCTCAGTGAATCACCTTGTCTTTGATTTTATTTGTAGGGGCAACTATTCCAAGATATTTTATTCAAAAACAAAAGGTGTAGAAAACAAGAAGAGGTACAAGGCATCTTGTATTAGATACTTATGGGACAGATGATATTTATGCAGTGTAGTTGTGGAATAATAATAGAAAATACATCTGGGATAATTAGGTTCAAGTGCAGACCAATTTGTTTAAAGATCTTTGGTTACTATCAATGATAGAGTAACTTTCAAAGACAAAATATAAAGCAATCTTCATCTGCGTGAACTGATTTCTAGCTTTTCACATTCAAATCAGTTGTTTGAATCAAACTGTCACATTACTTTGTTTGATAGCTCTGCTTGGCCTCTGCTTTTCTAGTGAAGGAAGGGCCAAAAGGAATAACCAGCTAATAATTTTGCCTTTTCTGAGACTGATGATCTCTGGGATTTTCAATTTTGTTCAGATGCAGAACAGCTGATGATCTCTCTGCTTCTCTCTCCATAATATTCTTTGACTACAGGACTGCTGTGCAATAAATCAGCAAAATAAGCATTTTGTGACAGGTACACTCTCAAGTACAAATCAAGATACTGGGTTGAGAAGTTCCTTACACACTGACCATTCTGAACACTTTGAAAAACAGTCAGCCAACCAACCCTGCATTTCCCCACTTTCAAATTGTAGTTTTATATCATTTAGCAAAACTAAGGAGGTGTTTTATCAGCTGAGATTCTACTGCAGCTGCTGGTGAATATAGAGTTAATTTTCCTCAGAGAAGGCTGACCAAAACACAGGCTTTCATTGCTTTTGTCAGGGCACAAAACTCTTCCTAAGGTATCACAATAACCAAGAACTACAAACTGGACTCTGAATATATATTATTAGATGTTTCTTGGTTCAGTTCAACAAGTATAAAATAGTAACTATTTTCTTTTGCGTTTTTTTTCTCTTCATTTTCCAATCCATTGTTGTGTTGCAATTTAACAAAGGCTAACACAAAATTAAATTATAGAAAAAATGTTTCAGAAAAGAACAACAATCTCCTATGAATACTTTAACATGCATTAGTGTAACCTGTAAGAGAAAATACGCAGGTCACACAGACAACTGTATCCTCTGCATGACACCATGGCCTTATATAAATGAAACATGTTAGAAAAAACTCATGGTTTTTGTTTACCACTAGTAATTAAGAAGGAATTCCTCCTTTGGTCTTGGAGGAAACAGAGGTGATATGACTAATGTATATACACATAGGTCACAATCGAATGCACAATCTTTCTAAAAGCTCTTTTCAAACTGAAAACATCAATAAAAGCTGCTTTTTTTGTTGTTGGTTTGTTTTTAAACTCACAGCTATGTACATTTTTACAAAGTTTCTTTAAATATAGTTCAGGCTGGCAAGTCATCTCTTTGCGCAGAACTATACGTATTTTACTGCATAGTCAGTCCTCCTCTTTTTTTTTATTTTTGTTTTTAATAATAAAATTCTATTTTCCCCATCTGGATTACAGCTTCATATGCTGGGTAAAAGCCCATGGTGATGTCTTTGTTTTATCAATGGCCATTCATGGTATGGCACATAAAGAATCTTTTTTATTATTTTATTTATTATAAAAAACCAAAACAAAACACCTGTACAGTCACTGGCTCTGTGTTCCAGAAGACTCTGCTTTGCTTGTTACACTTAAAACACCATTTTAAATTACTTCTTCTGGCCTCAACTTTCAATCAAAGTGGCTGAGATCTTAAAGCAGTATCGCAACAGCAATGTACACTTTTCACATTTCACAGGGTTTGTAGTTGATCTTTAATATCAGTGAGTTTCTGTGGGAAGGATCAGTAAGAAAATAATGACTGTCCTTCTCTATTACTTGTTTTTACTTTAGATTTTGACAAGGTGTTCAATGGATGGTATTATAACTTTTTCCTCTTCTTTTTTTTCTTTTTTTTTTCTTTTTTTTTCTTTTTTCCAAGTGGCTTGTGAGGGTAGAGGGGGAAGGGCTGAGCTATACCCTAGTGGTCGAATGTCCATGGGGCAAATTTGTACTGTTTTGTCCTCCACTGAAGGTGTTGAAAGTATGCAAAGGCTGCATTCCTGTTAATGTATTTGGGATCATAGTTATGGTGTTGGGTGTCATTAGCGGGATGTCATCTGGGGACCTTCTCAAAGTGAGCGTGTAGTCAGGTGGACAGGTTAGTCTCAGTGTGTCGTGGGCCTGCAGCGACTCACACTCATGGTCATGTTCTAGCTGCTTCATCTGCAATGACATGATCTCTTCGTTCTGTATGTGTGCTATATCATTGGTTGTGTTCCTCTGGGGGCTGGGGCGCCTGTGAGTCTCGTGACGTCTCTTGTCCTTCTTGTAATACAATGCAGCAAAAGCTAAAATGTTGAGGAACAGCAAGGATGCCCCCACAGCAATGGTGACGCTCAGCTCCGTGGAGTAATCTCGCTTGTTTTCTATCAGAACCGTCGTATCTTCTGGAGCTGTTTTATGGGTGTCTTTTGAATGTTTGGGGTTGTTGGCAGGTGTCATTGCTGGGCGTTTGGTGGCTGGCCACAATTTACCAGGAGAACGTCGCGTCACATAAGGAAATGAGGTCATGTCAGGAGGGGGGACTTTAGTTGTTGTGGAAACATACTGAAATATTTCATTCAGGTTATGAAGGTGTGGTACGAGCTCCAACCAGAAAGCAACTTTTGTTGCTCGGTAGTGATCACGAACCCGGGGTTTCAGGCCAATATGCAGATAAAGTTGGTCTTTAGGATTGTATTTGGACCAGGCCACTTCTTCAAAACGGTTGGGTTTTGTGTGGATGAACTTTGTGTCCTGTGGAACAGGTTGATTTGGATCTCTAAAAAAACAAAACCAGACAACATTATAGTTATTAATCTACCCCATCCCCCCCAAAACAGACAAAAGCAAAAAAACCCAAGTTAATGGATTTGCAATACTTAAAGTAATCTAAAAACAGAAGCTAAAAAGCCTTCCCTAAATGAAGAACAGCTGCTAATAAATAATCAAAAGAAAATTACTTACTGTACAGTGCATTTTTTTACATGAAAACAGAGAAAGGATAGTGTTTCAGATCCCAACAGGACATCTGAATTCTGTGATTCAGTATCATACTCCGAAGAGTATGTCTTAGAGATATACTGTATTAGAGAAGTACTAATCACCTCTCCCCATAGTAAAGGTGTAGGTCCAATTCTTCTCAGGGTTGACACTTTCTCATTTAAGGTACCACTACTTCCACTGCTATAAGTAGTAAATATGGGCATCTAACTCTTATGGCAATATTGGAAGTCCATGTGAATACAGGAAATATTAGCTGTATATATTACAAACAAAAACCTTTAAAACACGAAGTAGCAGGGCTAATACATGTAACTGGAAACCATTTATCTCTGTGTTCCTTTACTGAGCTATTAGTCCTCCTTCATTCAAATCTCTGTGCTGGCAAAAAACCTTTGAACTATTTTTATTTTTATGTTGCAAATCTTTCCATCATTTGCATTAGCAGATAACTATTTGAAAGTTCCATGAGATCATTGCTATGAAGGAACTATGCTTAATGGTCATAGGACAGAGAGCCTTAACTCTGTCTCACTTTATGAAGATGAGACATATATTAGCTGAGATCAACAAGTTTTATAGTACTTAAGTAGTAGTAGAGATAGGAGTAGTACAAAACTCAGATTATTTCAACATCATCAAGCCAGATATTTAATCAACATTATGCTTTTTCCATATTTTCTTTTTTTTCATTATATGTTCAGAATAAAGACAAACCATTTCATTTATCTATTTGTCGGTCTATCTATCTATCTGTCTGTCTATCTATGTCTTTTTATCTTTTTATTTATTTATTTTTAATTTTATGTATTAACAGTTAGCCAAGTTGTGTTAATTCTGAACAAAAAGATAATTGCTTGGGAATTGTTCATCCCAGTTCAAACCAGAGGAGTAATATTCACTTCCAAGCAGTACAGAAACAGATGTATGCTGCTACTTTGAGGGATTCTAACATACAGTGAAGAAAAAAATAAAACTTTTCTTTTGTTCTTAAAGAACGGACTGAAAGATTTGGAAAATCCAGAGGAGAAGATACTGTCCCTATTCAATATATCTACTTTTACAGAAATTTGGGGTTCAATGCATAAATTCTAAAGCAAGTTAAAAATCAACAGGATTATCAAAATGCAAAGCACTTTTCCTGTCAGAAGCTCTTACATTGTCCCCCCTTGCTGTTCTGATTCACAGCACAAAAGACTCTGGGAAGGGTCCTATGGAAAACAAATTCATTAAGCTAGTTTGGGTAAATGAGTTGCATTTGATACACAGTACAGGAAACGAAGAAGCTGAGCACTCATTTCAATGAGCAGCCAAGCTGGATATGCATATTTTTTCTTTTTTTTTTTTTTTTTTTAATGGCCCTATAAAAATGTCAGCAGATAATTATTTTCACAACTAAACATCTTTTAAAATTGCATTCTCTCTGTGGTCCCTTCCAACTTTTCCCATTCTGTAATCCTGTGATTCCCTTCCCCTACAAACAGCCTGCAAAACAAGTAAATATCAATCTCCCTTTCCTCCTCTTCCATTCTCTACCTCCATCTGTCATTTTTAACTATATCTACTAGGAGCAGCCAATTACGCTGCCGCCTCCTCCAAACACAAGAGAGAAAATAACATTACATGAGGGTAGGCTTGTATTTCAATATTTGTTTACATGACTCTGTGGGGGCATGAAGCTGTCCCTTGAAACAACGAACAGAAAAAAATCAGCCAGTTCTAAAGACAAGTAATTTCTTTTTTGTGGGTATCAGAGCTCTAGGACCGACACTGACTGTAGGGTTGATTACTTAATAAATGAATAAATGGTCTCAATATTCTCTCTGAATTTGGAGGATAGATATCTAAATAATTATTTTTTTAAAGAAAAGTGAATAACTAAGTCCAGTCCTAAATAGAGGATCTAATAATGCATGGATCTTGGTCTTACAAATTAATGACAATGTGCGAAAAATATTCAGTAGATATAAACAAGAGAATGTTTACTTTCCTTGGTCTTTCTCATATGTACACTGCAAAAAATTAATAAAGTCATAAGGTTACAACTTATAACTTGTTAAGCTTTTTTCTTGGGTAGTTGGGCAGCTTCTCCTGTTATGAACAAGTTTCCAGTTTTATTGGTAGGCATGAAACATAAATGTACAGAAAATCATTACTCCTATCAAATCAGCTATTCAGCAAAACTCTTATCTGTTATTAATTTCAAATTTCCTTTTTCCTTTTTTAGCCCCCTCACATCACCTTTGTGCTTCTAGGTGTTCTTGAGGCTCAAATGTATAATGCATAATAAAAGGTTGCTAGGAAACCTTCCTTTAAAAACCTGCTGCAATCATGATGATAACAGTATAATATGAACAATATATTTTCAGTTCTGTACTTCTTCCAGTAATGACTCTCATAGGAATTAGATAACTTGTTTCCCAATGCTACACGTTGTTAGAGAGATTTTTTTTTATTCATGCTACTGTTATAAAAAAATTAATTATTATTATTGTTCATTTTGCTCTCTCATTATTTAGTTTTACCACCTTTAAAATTAAATTTAAACAGTTTCTCCAACAGAAAATGTTCCCATCATAGGATGTCTGAACTTTTTTTCCATATAACAGAAGACAATAAGATGGTCTTTCTTGTCTTATCTAAGGTATATTTTCATTAATGTGCAGGATAATCCCATTTCACCTGTCACTTTTTTTCTCCCACTTTCAGTCTGCACTGATTTTGCACAACTTAGGATGTTGCTACATATTGTCATTTAATTCACACCTCATTGGCTAGAGACGTGCAATCAAAGCATTAATTTTTTCTCAGGCAATATAAAGTAAATGTGCCTGCAATGGATGCCGACTGAAAAGCAACACACACTCCTGTTCACAAGGTGGATTAGCAGCTGATCTGAAGGGCAAACGAGAGTCCTGAGTATTTCATATCTGCTGATATTGTCATGAGAAGAATGATGGATTAAGAGGTCTTTTCATAATCCATATTCCATACAACATTGCAAAATACAACTTGCGTTTTAACCACTTCTGCAAAAATAGGACAATGGAACTGTTATGTTAATGCACTTAAAGTATTTTATTATTTGGGTCCTTCTCTAATTTCATTGGAGAGCAAAATGTCTTCACAATTACATACTGAGTTTTTCTGTTTGTCTCCAAGGCTCTGAAAGGCCCTTTGATAATTAATTTTCTTTCAGTACTACTCTTTCCTCCTTATGGGAAGAAAAAAAAAAGAGGAGAGAGAAAAACTGACATTTCTTCATTCTTCTGCTGATTTTTTTTTTCTAGTGTCACGATACTAATAATGACACAGACAGTCCTGCCTGAAGGACTTTTACGCAGACATATCTTCCCTTACTTCCTTTCCTCACTTATTACCAGGTCCCACTGTTGCCATGCTCCAGTCAGCTATTATAACCACTAAGGAAAACAAACCATAAGCACACTGTTTTGTTCGACTAATACAGATTTGCCATTGGAGACAGTTATTTCTTCAGACAAAAACATCCAAAAAAAATAGTCTCATAAAAGAGTTCACTGAGAATTGATTTGAAAATATACTTTTATAATTGTAAGTTTAATCATGCTTTCTATTAGAGAACCAAACTGAATATAAAACATAGACATTCTTAATAACTCAGAAATGTATGAAAGTTTGTGCTTCAGAATCAATGGTAGTAAAATAATTTGGGAGTTTTTATCTGAAGTACAAAGAAAACAAGGGTATATCATTTAGACCTTTATCTTTCCCAATACCAGCGTAGGTAGAGCTGGATGAATGGGAGCAAAAATAGAGTACTGTAATTCTTCACAAAGAGGGCAATTTTTAGAAACCTGATAGATGTCTCTAATGACAGCATGGCTTTGTGCATAGTCTGTGAAACTTCAAATCCTTCTTCACAAGAGTGTAGCTGACAGAGTATCTGTGAAGGACTGGCACACAACCCCTCATGTTATTCACTCTCCCCCTGCTGATGTATCTGCGAAGGAGGTAACATGGCCCTAACTAACAGAACACTTGGCACATAAAATTACCATTACAGTTAAGATAGTACTACTGGCAGCAGACTGAAGCTCTAAGTGCACCTCTTAATGAAGCTCTCACATATAATTCTGCACAAAGTGGAATTAAAAGCTGTATTTTCATGTCATTTTTGTATTCCAAATGCAGTATCTCACACCCACTCTGTAAAAAATTGTTGGCCTGTTTCTAAGGCATGTTAGAAACATATTTTTGAAAAGGCAAAAAGAAAAAGATTGTTAAGAATAATAAAAATAATAATAAAAGATTCACAGGAAGGTAGAGAATGAAGGATTAGCAAAATGCAACTTCAAGGCATTAATTTCAAGCACAAAGTACCTGCCATGAAACACTTCCTTTGTCACCTCCTATTTGCTAGCTTCAGTAGCTGACTTCAAAGTCAAACACAATAAAAACACTGGGTCTTATGTTTTGATTTTATAAGATTGACCTGCCCTCCAAACCCAGCCTTTGCAGTAGGTCCACTGAACAGTGTGTCTCTTTTTAGGAACGAGTGGTATGTCATTAAGAGCCTAACACTGTCCATCAGAACGATGAACCACCTGAGCTGTAATTATACAATAAGTTCCTGGATGCAGTCTCTGTGGGAGAATCATCAAGATTAGATGAGTCTTAGAGACTTTTAAATTAAATAAATATATCTACAGTTTTAATGTTCAAGGCTCGCCTACAGGGAAATGTGTAATAATAAAATCTTTCAGTTAGATTTTTCATATTTGTTGCCATGGGTACAAACACAAAGCAAGACAAGCTCTATCAGAATTAGGATGGGAAATGATCAATTAAAAATGGGGGGGGGGATCCCAAAGCAGAGCCCCCAACAATACAGTCTTGAACTATATAAGTCTTTTTGAGAGTTGGAGAACCTGAGTCACTGATTCCAGATTGCACGAGTGAGTAGAGAGGAGAATGGTTACTCCAGAGATCGTCTTTGCTCTAGGCTTGAGGTGCTACAACCTTCTCTTTTCCATTGGAGGAACCAGAGATGCAGAGCAAATGTAATCTTAAGATATTATTTACCTCCAAGTATTTTCTTGTACTCTTCAGAAAAATTAATCATTGTTCATATAAGCAAAAAACCCCATCGAGGTAATATATATTGTGTTGCTCTTTTCCTTTCCTTGTGAAAACTGAAATTTCACAGCTAGAGGTCATTTCTAATGACAAATCTTTCAAACTGTCTATAAAGGAGTGAGTCTGTAATAGAATATATACCCCATTTCTGTCTCATCCACAATGGGAAAGTTTCAGAAATGACTAATGAGTCTCCCAAAGAACCTTTTTTGCCTTTAGGTGTAATATGGCAATGGCTTCACAGCTAGAGAACTGGGTATAGCCTGCTGAAATTAGCTTTCAAGTAGCAACAGCTGGAAAGTGCTGTGGGTAACGGTGGCAGCTGGGACTGTGAGAAGCTCCTGTTAGCCTCAAAAACTGCTTAAATACAACTTCTTAATCTACAGGGAATAGTCATAAAGTAATTGTAAACAATAGTGTGACTGTGGAAGTCTTGCATCTCTGTAAGAATTCCAATTATTCCAAGAATTCCAATCTGAAGTTCTTTATGTATATGTGGCACCTCCTCTACAAAAATAAAGACAAACTGATGGTATCATCGTTTTTCTGAGCATGTGGTACAGCCAGCACAGGGCGTTCTCTGTCCATAAACCAAGATTTTGTCATGATGTTTGCCTATCCCAGCACTGATGACTTCTTGTTGCCAAATACATCTAAATATTACAGAGTTCATTCACTTTTGTTGCTGAACTGTGGGATTTCTGTATGCAAAAGTACCTGTTTACCTCACATGTGTTGCAACAAGAGCTTTTTTTTGCCTTATAAATTGACCTGAAGCATTTGATTGGTTTTTACTCCATTCACGCTTCAAGTTCTTGTTAAGATGGCAAAATCCCTCTCCCTTGAACATCATTCGGATTCATTAAAGGTAGCAAGAACTGAAGCCCCTGAGTGTTTCACAATGGGTATCTCTGAGTTTTTCTTATATAGCTGCAAATCGTTCACTGCAGTGCAGTAAAGCTGCAGTTTCCAGAGCCCAATCCTACCATTAAACATTCAGTGAAAAGATTTACAGCTCCTTTGTGCCACAAGTATCTTTGTTTTAATTCAGTACTGAAGACTCAAGGTTAACAAAAAAGCCCTTGCTGCTCAAGTAAAACACTGCAATACTTTTTAAAGGAATGCTATAGGAAGAGAACAGAATTTATTAATAGTGTTCACAGATTAAGCTGCTTTGAGGGTTCTTTCCTGGATGTTTATAACACTATTTCAGCAAAACATTGATGTCTTTATTTTGTTTTCTAAGCAGAATTAATTTAAATTTTTAACCTTCTCAAAGTAAAATTTTTATCCGAATCTCTTCTTCATTCCAGTCAAGTACTTATTATTGCCATTATTGCTCTCAGAGGGAAAAATTTTTCTAGTGTCTGCCTTTCTGTTCTAATTCCTCCCTGAGTCCTCATCCTTGTGAAGGTCACTGAAAATCAAGAACTTCCTTTCTTTTGCAGCAGATAAGTGCTATCTGCCTGACAGTTCCTTCTTCAAGTGGCAGACATGTTGCCTCTGATTTTTCAGTATCTTAGTGAGCCACCTTTTCTCTGAGACATGCTTTTTGTCTCAATAATTATTCTATTTTTTGAACAAAAATTATGATGCATTATTATTCTCACTGAGCTACTGAAAGAAAATAGTTTGAGGGAACACACTAATTAAAAATCTATTAAATATGAATAAGGCTCATTTACCTCCTGTCTTAATGCAAACAGTTCTATAATACTACTGCAAAATCAGAGTTTGAGGTCACTGCAATGGGGTATTGAGTATTTTAGAAGTATGTTATCAATGGAAAGGAATGCTGGGGGTCACACTTACCCAGTTTTGGCAAAGTTAGTCCAGTATGTCATAACCACTGCACTGAGCATGACATCATTCTTGGAAAAGTTGCAGTTGAACAGTTCTGTGGGACCAATCATAGGAATCCCAAACACGTAAGGGACTTCATCACCATGAGCTGAATCAGCCCAGCTGGGTTTCATTTCACTTTGGCAATGGTGATAAAATGCATAGAAATATGTTGGAGATCCATACTGGGCATGCAGGTCAGCAGTAGCTACAGCTGGAGCAACCCACTGGTGGTCTGTAAAAAGAGCAACCAGGGTCTTCCGTCTTGTTTCGGGGTTTTCTTTGTCTGCCCAGTCAGTGTACATAAATTTAATGGTCTCTCGCAGTGTATCCTTCCCTTCTGGATAACCATAAAGATTGTCCACAAAATTGGAGACAGAAAAGTCAAAATCATTGGGGGAAACACCATCTTCATTGTCTACAATTCCATCCACGAATTTTAAACCTTCCCCTTGATTCACGCCCAGCATTATATCATAGTTAAGGAATTCCCCTTGCTCCATTAGAATCTGTGGGTCATCTGGAATCACGTCTCCATCTATCACAGGCCCAAAGGCAATATGGTACGTGGCTGGAGTGATGGTCTGTTGAATGAGTTCTTTGTAATTCTTATTCCGAAGACATTCAACCAAATCAGTGGTATCCAGCATGTCGCAGCCCACTTTATCTGCCAATATCCGAGTGTACTTGGCAGGCTGATAGTTCACTGCCCAGCTGGACAGGGCTGTTCCACTCTGTATGATTGCCTTTTGGAACAAACCTGCAGGTGTAAATTGTTTAAATACAAATCCAATTAGATATTTTAAAAATCTGTGTATCAAAAAAATTAAAAGCATTTCTTACAAAGCAAAAAAAGCTTTGATTATACAATCACTAAAGAGTGCATAAACCAAAATTTTTATTCAATTTCCATAGATCCTGCCCGCTACTCTCTTTTTATACTATCTCTGATAAGCTACTAATTAAAATCTCTCATGTTTTTGGTGCTCACACACACAAAACATGAAGATTTCAGGGTGCTGTTTCAAAAACAAAACTCATGCTTATACTACAGTTTTCTTGCATCTTTGATGGAAGTCCTCTGGCTTTGCCACAGTTGTAGTCCTGTGAAAATTTCTTTAAAGGATTGTCAGCTACAAGCAATTATATCCTCTTCTCCATGTAAATGACACTCATGAATGCACCTTTCAGTAGTTTAAAGGTCAAATGAAAACTACACACTCTCATTTCCTTCACAGAAACCATGCGTCATATAACTTCAAAAAATGTGCTCCAATAAAAGCAATTTAATAAGTTCAAATCTTCTACTCAGAAAATTTTACCATTTAATTTTTTTATTATCATTTTGTGTGTATATGTTAGCACTGCCTACATGTTGAACTTTGCATGTGTGTGTTAGAACTGCCTATATGTTGAACAAAAATATATTTAAATATTTTTGAAAGAGAGTGAGACGAGACTCATTAGTTCTTTCTGGTTGCTTTATGTGTACTCATAAAAAGAGAACTGAAAATCTGATCTGAAGAGCTTCTTTGTGTCAGAGCACTGAAAAGCAATAGGGGGCTTAATGGTGAAGCTGCCCCATCTCTTTTTCTCTGGTAAGACCATTAAAATGGCCTACTTTATATTTAAAATTAAATACTTGGATTTTTCTTGACATGATTTCTACTGTTAAACTCTCAAAATGTCAAAGACAGCAACAGATACAAAAGCATGTGGGTTTTGTTGTTGATATATCTTTGAGATGATTACTTAATGCACATGCAATAAAATTTCAATTATTTGATCAGTTAACTTTTTCATAGTTCCATCTGCATGATTTTGGCATGGCTTGTTCAACAGTTATCCACTGCACTCTTATTTGTATCAACTGACTGAGTTGTCAAGCACAGTTGTATGCATTTTAAAATGGTGTGTGTTTACCAATCACCCTGCTATGACTGTTTGCTATGGTTTAGCTTTCTGTCACAAATTCCTATCTGTTTTAATATGACAAAAATGGCATGGACTTATAAATACAATAGATATTTTTGTGTTGTCTTCTTTTATAAATTCTTTGTAGATTTGGTCTTATCATCATGAATATTTATTATTTGGTACTGGTGCTGTACATTCTTGGGGTTTGTTGTTGGGTTTTTTTTGCAGGGTGAAGTGTTAAGGGTAGAAACCCCACAGCTCACTTACCAAAATCTTAAGAACACTGTGTGGGATCACACAGTATTTGTGGGGAGTTAAATACAGTTTTTAATAAGTTTAAGTCATGTTATTATTAAGCGAAGAAAGCAGCTTAATATATGTTGGAAGTGCAGCCAAGAGTGCATAAAAAATCAAAAAGGTCACTGCTCTCTTCCATTTTAATTAGGGCAAATTCTTTGACAGGAGACCCAGTGGAATCTGTTGATAAAACTAGAAAAAAACATATTGCCCATAGCATTAGTTGCATGAGATTTATGCTGTAATAGCATTTAGTTTTCCCTATAAATATGTTTTTAGGTTGACGAATACAAATCCAGAATACTAACTAGTAGGTATTTTCCAAAAATTATAGACCTCATATAATTCTAACTCAGCCTACCTCATATGGCCATTTTCATGACACTACTATGTTAAAAAAAAAAAAAAAGTGCTTTGCTTACCTTCTGAATAGTGGGAGAGTGTCAGAAGACTGACACAGGAAGCTCCTGCCCCAGATCCAAAAATAGTAACTCTTTTTGGGTCTCCTCCAAAAGATCCAATATTTTCTTCAATCCAACGTAAAGCTTGGATTTGGTCAAGCAATCCGTAGTTGCCTTTTGCAGCTTGGTCGCCAGTACTTAAAAATCCTAAAAGGCAAAATCCCATAATTTTAGTTCATGAGACACAGAGTTAGCTACAGGGTATCTACATGTTCACAACACATCTTCCCATACTTTCATCTTCTGTGCTTTTTTTTTTCCTTCTTTTTTTTTTTTAAAGGTCACAGTCCTAGTTAAATGTCTCCAGAACAGGCAGTGAAACTCATTCTTTTGCTGTTTGACTTTAGTTTGTTTTTCCCCACCACAGAGGTCATGTTTATGAAGAATCACTATTTCATTTCTGAAGCATTTCTGTAATAATGCAACAATACAGACAGAAGATTTTAAACATTTTTTAACTGGATATGAGTAGGGTCAAAAAACTTAGGAAATTATTTTAGTGCAAAGATGTGAGATAGCCAGTCACCAACTGAGAACAAGATTCTCTAACTTAAATACTTGCCAAAATTGTCCTGAACTACACAGCTATTTAAATTACTGTACTTGTGATATGGATAGATGTACTCAGAAACAGAAAAAAGAGGGCAGAAGAAAATAGCAAAAGGAACATGAAAAAGCCTAGGAAAAAAATTGCACTTCAATTTCACAGAGGATATTTATTAGGAAGATAGCAGGTAAATCCACATCAATTCAGCCTTTGGTAGGGAGGTTTTATCTGAACAAATCAGGTTTTGTCTCTCTCCTTGGAAATTGCAGGGAAAGCTGCGCTGCTGATTTTTTGTTCCCATACTCTGGTTATCAGATTTTAAAAAACAAAGCATGACAAGTCTGCTGCTTGTCTTGCAACTGAGAACAAAATGACTCAAAGATTAGGACTGAGATTAATTTTGGTTTTTTGAAGACAAGGTGAAACATTGCAGTTATCCCTGCTGCCTATCATTCACAGGTAAGACTTGTGCTATGTCCAAATTACCCCAGTAAGCCATGTACTCACACTCCTCTCTGTAACTCCCACAGACCTTTTCCTGTTAGACAACTGTTGAGTCAGAAGTCAGTTAGAAATACCTTACAGGATATGCAAATTTTCAGATGGACATTACTGATTTAGGCACCGCTGACAGCTGCTTATCAAGACAAAACAAGGACATCACTTGGCAGGCTTTTCCAAGCTAATTATTAGTTCAGACAAATTTGCTAGAATGGGGACCCAGGACTCAGGAGATATGTAGTCTGGTGCAGTTTGATATGAGTCTGTTATCATGAGACATCTGAGCCTGCAGTAACAAGACCTTCATGATCCTAGGAAACACTAGAAGGGAAGTCTTGGATTCCTAGGGAAAAAAAGGCCTTGCAATATATTTCACCTGCTTTGGCAAGGGGGAACAGATCTCTTTGCACTGGCTGTAGTAATTTTTTAGGTGATAGGAAGAGTGAAAATCCACAAGGTGGAAGGGGTTCACAATATGGAGGAAGCGGAAGAGAAGGCAAGGCAGGAGAAAAGAAGAAAAAATGAGATGTGTCAGACATTCACACCTGACAGACTTTCACTAAAATATTTTCTATGGTAAAATTTCTACAATGATACACAAAATTTTGTCTGAAGATTTAAAAGCAATATCACATCAGGACTAAACTCTAAATATGGAATGTTATATGGCCTCCATTATGGTGGCATAAATTTCTGAATGCAAAGTTAGTCATGATTGAATGAAATGTATTAACTTCTACACAAAAAATATTTTAATATTTAATTAGTAATTATTTGTAGGTATTAAATGTCAGCAAGTGCAGATGAGTCTTTGTATTTTTCAGAAAACAGTTGTTCCAATTGCAGTAATACAAATCATGTCCATTTGATCCAGCTTTCTCATTAAAAAAAGTCTCTAATAATGGCAAGCACAGTAGTTAGAATGGAGTAACATCTTCTTTCTCTTCTATACCAATGGAGAAAAAATAAACAAACTATTAATCTATAATTATCTCAATTTTATTTTTTCTTTTAACATATGTGTTTTTCTCTTTTTCTCATGCCTTTATTATCTTTTTAGGACTGTCAAAGAAAAAATAACTCATTTTCTGGCTTTGTTGCTGCAGCTCACTGCAATGTTCTAAAATATTCTATAATTAAGGCTTTATTCAATCAGAACTATGACCTCACTTGGAGAAAGTTATTGTTGTAACCTTTAAAGCAGTGTGATAATTAATATTCGGAGCCTAAACATGTTTTAGCTCTTCTAGCAGCATCAAGCTAAAGTTGGTTGAACTTTGTAATTTTGAAATGTACTAAAAGGTACATAAAACTGCAGTCAGTGAATATCTGATGTTAGACAAATGAAGATTTCTTTTTTTTCCACAACTGTCTGCTGATTTTCATTAATTGCAAGAACAAATTTTCTTAATTTAAAAACTAATCATCATGGCAAAGAGTCAGCCCCACATGACACAAACTGAATTCATAAACCTGTCTTTTTTTGATGTATTTTCTTTTATGCTCTGAATACCACAGTAAGATATTTCTTCAAAGGTATTTGAAGAAATTCAGGTAAATAGTAATTATTTGTTCAAAAATACACAACACTAAGAGTTTTGTGGTTTTTTTTCTGTGATCACTATGAATATTTCAGAGCAGGAATGCAGGGTTTTTTTCTGAGGTGGGATTTATATTCTGTGCCTTTTATATATATATGTTTTTAAGTGCAGTTAAAACTATTTCCCAGTTTATAATTTGGTGTGATTTGAAGGGTATTCTGTGATCTGAAAATTCTTAGACTTGGGTTTTGATAGAACCTGAAAGTTCTTCTCACTTGTTTAATGTAATGCAGTAAGGAGTGGAAATAGCTTAATATGGAAATCAAAGAGGTTTTTTGTTCGGTTTTGTTTTATTTGGGTTTTTTTTCCACGTAATGATACAGAAAGGTATTAACAGTAATATTCAATTCTTGACTTCACAAATCTGTCTTTCCTTAAATAATGGTTTGGAAGGCTGATAAGGCTCTCCAGCTGCAAAATGCTACAGACAGCAACAGCTGAAAAAGAGGAATGTGAATGTATCCAATGTGTGTTGAGTGAAATACCCCAAACTGTCTTAGCAGAAATTTGCTCCAAACTTATTGTGACAGAGGGAAATATGACCACCAGTGGGACTGAGTAGTAACCAGGGAATCAGAGTCTACTGAGGGAAAGGTCAGCTTGAAAAAGAGGGCAACAGAAGCATGACAGTTTGTAAAAGGAGAGATAGGGAGGCGGAAAGCGGGCAGCAGCTGGACATGGTTTGACATTGTGCAAAGTGGCCACGACATTGCAAACTCCCTCCATCCTGGAGAGAGTACCCTCCTGTGGGGCATCTGCACTCATCCAGAGGCTGTCCATGTGTGCTGTCACACAAGGATGTGTCTACGCATGTCTGGGGTCTTGTGGGATGTTGGGTCAGTGGGTGGTTGGGAGTGGCAGGAGCTCACCTGATGCTGAAGCAACCACATATCCCACAGAGAAAATGGGGGAAAGTCCACTCCCTGGCAATGGGGCTGCTAGTGACCCACACAGCCTGGAGGTGACCTAATGCACAACCAGCTCTATATGTTTGTGTGTGATTAGAACTTTTGGGGATTAATTGCAGAAGAATGCTTAGAAATTTGCAACTGTTTACTAATCTAAGTGTCTAGTATTATAGCTTATCTTTTGTATTGCTGATACTGATCCTGAAAGTATAGCTCATTGCCTGCTGATTAGGTATTTACCTAGTAGGCTAAAACTAAAGCATTCATCTTCAATGCTTTCCTTGAAAGAGTCAGAGAAAAATAAATACAATGGTTACTTCAGAAACTTCAGTTTAAGGAAGCATTTTTTCTCCTTATTGAAGTCATGTGGAAAAAATTAGATGCACCATTAATTACAAGTAATACACTAAAAAAAATTAAGGGTACTTTATGTTTCCTCATAGTTTATTTCTCTCCAGCTCCAGCCTTGTCTAGTGGTTGGAGGCCCTCCCCACATTAGCATGCTGTGTAGACCTTCAAGAGTCACTCTAAAGAGAACAAACAGGTGGACCTTGTGCCCACTGTACATATTTCATGAATTTATTTTACTATGACTGAATTACTGTCCAGTCCATAGGCTGAATGAATAACCACTGGTAGATATAGTGCATAAGGGGAAGGACATCTTCCAGTTGAGGCTCACCTGGAAGGGTCCAGGCTGTACTTTTCGGAACCTTTTTGCAATGTGAAACAGCGCGCAAGGAGGTGGTGACAATACTGTGAGTTTCTGTGAAAATACACTCTTGATCTGAATTAAAACACTAGTGTGGACATGGTCAGGATCAAAATTATATTCTTCCAACCACAGAATTGTATCTTGCAGAATATTCCACCTAAGGAGCCCTTCTGCTGTGCCTTTTGCAATCGGACTTGTCTGTCTTGTATTGGCCTCTTTAGCAACCAGCGCGCTTGTAACAAATGTGGGTAGAGCCCTTCCCAAATCTTCATTCATGAAGCCTAGCCATGAATGACCTGAGAACTATGGTTTTAGCCTTAGAGATAAATACAATCATCAACATAATTCCAATCTTGTGGTAATTTGCATTTTTTAAATTCCTATGTACTGTTTTCTCATTCTTTCTACATTTTTAGATAAAAAATTACTGTGACAACTTTTCTTTGACATTTTGCACACAGTAATACCCAGTATTACATCAGTGTGGGAAAAGTCCATTCTTTATCCTCATATTTTGTCCCCTAGGCCTAATGCATATTAAATCAATTTGATGGCTGGCTGAGAGCCTAAATTCCAGCTGTGAACATTCCTTCCTTTCTTTTCTTTCCTTCCTTCCATCTTTCTTTCTTTCTCTTTCTCTCTCTTTTTCTTTCTTTTCTTTCATTCCTTCAATCTTTCCTTCTTTTTCTCTTTCTTTCTTTTTCTTTCTCTTTCTTTCTTTTTCTTTCTTTCTTTCTCTTTCTTTCTTTCTCTCTCTTCCATCCTTCCCCCTTCCCTTCCCTTCCATTCCCTTCCCAAACCTTCCCAAACCTTCCCAAACCTTCCCTTTACTCACCTCTCCTTTCCCCTCCTTGCCTCGCCTCGCCTTC